CATGGTGGAAGGAGAGAACCACGGCATGTATGTGTGTGCATGTACACACACACACACACACACACACACAGAGAGAGAGAGAGAGAGAGAGAGAGAGAGAGAGAGAGAAATATAAAAGGGAAAAAAGGTAGTCAACTGAAGCCATCAGCGAGTAGCTAGTACGTACGGCCTTCCAACAACTGTGTGAAGGAGGGAGATTATCTTTACTTTACTGAGCTCTGGAATGGCTGCATTTTCGTGACAAGCCTGAGTCAGAATCACACAGCTAATTGCAGTATTGTGAGGATCTGGACTCCTTACCTTCAGACACTGTGTGAGATAAGTGTTTTATAAGTTGCTAAATTCAGGGTAATTTATAGTCCAGCATCAGATAACTGCTACCCAGAGCCTTGTCCTTGTGTGCTCTCTCGGTCCTAGCAGTACAGGCTGTTCCTCATGTCTGCTATTCCTATATTCTCCAGAGTTCTCTTTATTCATTATGAAACATTTCTCATTACACCAATCTCATTATAGTTAATAGCAATCCTTTATATTAATTTCCTCTATCAAATTTGGTGCGGGTTTCCTCCCCCAATACCACAAAATACCACATAAAACTGATGCTGCTAGTTAAAAAACCATCTACCCTTCACAGCTACTGGATTACTTGCCATAACCAGTTCCTGGAGCTCAGTAGCTCTGAACCAGATGGACAGAGCAATTTCAGGTAAAGAGCTGTCAAGTACTAAAAGTGTTACAGAGAGAAACTCCTACGCCAGGCTCTGCTTTCACAGTATCTGACCCTTCCCTTTCTAATGTCTCCTTTTCATTTTCAAGGGCAACACAACTTCTGTTTCACTTTTTCTCTAGCTCATAATCAATCACAGCGCTGGTACGACACCATCTTCATCACTGTTCAATTGCTGTGAAAAGACATCATGACTAAGGCTGGTTACAAGAGCATTGGGGTTGGTCACAGTTTCAAAGGTTAGTATGGTTTTCATTACAGCAGAGATCTTGGCAGGCAGGCATGGTGCTGGAGCAGTAGCTGAGACCTCACACCCCATCCACAGGCAGAAGACAGAAAAACAAGGAAACTGGCTCTGGCCTGGGCTTTTGGAATCTCAGAGCTATATACAGCCAACATCAAACTAATGAGAAAAGCCCAAAGCATTCCCACAAAAACCATGAACAAGACAAAGATCCCTGTGCCCTACAGTCCTCTTCAACAGAGTGCTTAAGTTCTTAGCTAGGAGTAATGTGACAGAGAAGGAAATAAAGGGACACTAATAAGAAAAGCCAAAGTTGCCTCTGTTACCAGATGATGAACCCCTATACAAAAGAGACTGATAGAGACTTCACCAAAAAACTCTTGAGAGCTGATAAGCACTTCCGGCAAAATGGCAGTATACAAATCTAACACACAAATCAGTAGCCTCCCTATTTACCAATGACAAACATACTGAAAAGGAAACCAAGTAATTAAACCCAGTCACAACACACACACACACACACACACACACACACACATAAACACACAGGCATGCATGTACAAAACACCCAGGAATAAATCTAGACCTCTACAGTGAAAACTTTAATAAGGCCCCAAAGAAAGAAACTAAAACTAGAAAATGGGACTACACACCCATGCATATGGATTGGGAAAATAAACATTGTGAAAATGCCCATCCTACCAAAAGCAATCTACAGATTCAATGCAATCTTTATCAAAATGTCAAGCCATACTTTACAGTAACAGAAAATGTAATGCTAAAGCACATATGGAAACAAACAAGACAGGACAGTCATCCCAATCCTAGTGGAGGCAACACCACACCTGATTTCAGTTTTAGCTCAGAGCCATATTAATAGAGATGTCATGGGGTTCAGACAAAACATGTAGATCAGTGGAGTATAACAGAGAACTCAGGGATAAAACCATGTTACTTCCTCTACGTGGGCTTCTTATTGTTGTTTGGGTTTTTAGTTTTAGGCTTTTGGGGGGTTTTTTGACAAAAAAAAAAAGCCAAAATCTCACTGGAACAAATGATGTCACTTGGGAAGCTGATTAAGTCCACAGGGAGTGTGTATTATTGACATGACCAAGGCCTTATCAAGGACTCCAGTGACTCAGACTATGCAAACTGCATACCCTTCCCCATGTCAGAATCAGGGAACTGGCAAAGGCTTTCCCTGTTCCAAGAATGGATGTTGACAGTATTTGCAAAGATCAACATCTTCCTCCCTGAATGACTGCAACCTCAGATTGTTCCCTTGCAGAGAATCCCAACAAAGACTAGCCAACCACCTCCTCATTCAGCAGCATATGCTAAACCCACCTCCTCACTCAGCTCTATATAACAAACCCACTAAAGAAAGAAAGAAAAAGACATGACTGCTCCTAGGTATGGTGGAGGGAAAATTTTATTACAGATACATGGGAGAGCATAGTTAGAGACAGGGACATCTGGGAGAGTCCCAGAATGGACATGACCCTAAGCTGGACCATATGGGGAGAAGGGGAGGGGGATGGAGAGGGGAGAGGGGGGAACCAGGTGCAGCAGCCAGGAGGTCCAAAAGAGAGTAGCTGAAAAGGGCCAGGTAACCAAAATGGTTGGGTTATATAGGAAGGGCAGCCCAGTCCCTGGGCTTGAGAAGTTTGCGGTAGAGGGTGGACTATGCCAGCCAGGATGGCCCTGTAACAGGTAAGGACTGAGCTCTACAGGGAGAATCTGGCGGCCAGTGTCCACTTTGATATGTTAAATAGGCACCCCAGCCTTTGTCCCAGGTCTGAGACCTAACATCACCTCCACACTAAGTTCTACATAACCCATGAACCAAATCTGGACTGATGAGACCAGTTCTCCACACAGCGCCTTTTCTGTAAGAGGTCTGTTGTTTCTCCATTCCCCCCCCCCATTGCCCCACAAGGTAGTCCTAAAGCTATGCAGGTCATGGCAGTGCTGGGAATCTTGGGTATCAAGTTTCAAAAGAAAGAAACTAGATCTTCACCTGTCTCCTGCACAAAACCACCTCAACATAAGACTTGACATTCTAAAACTATCAGAGGAAAAAGTAGGGAGTATATTTCAATGTGCAGGCACGGGTAAGGACTTTTCAAACAGGACTCCAGCAGCATAGGCATTATGACCACAGTCAACAAATGGGGTGGATCTCAATGACAGCCCATGGAACAGGAGAAAACCTTTTCCAGCTATACATTCAAGAAGATTATTAGTGTCTAGTGTTTGGAACATACAAAGACCTAAAAAGCAAAACAAACTAAAAAAAAAAATCACCCTAAACACCAAGAAAACACACAACATTTTTTTAAAAGGGCTACGTAGGATTGGAAGAGCATTTGCTGCTCTTGCAGAGGATCTAGGTTTGGTCCTAGCACCCACACAGTTGCTCAAAAGGGTCCAAAACTGCATTTGCAGAGGAACCTGCGCCCTCATCTGACCTCCTCAGTACTAGGCATGCGCATGCAGGAAAAACACTTCCACAAACTGACTTTTTTAAAAGGTAGAGGTGCCTGTGCACTTCTAAAAGGAAGTTCTCAAAACAAGTACTACAAATAGCAAACATTTTTTTTAAAAAAGGGTTCAACAGCCTCTGCAATGAATGACACAGAGTGACATGCAGATTAAAATTACCTTAAAATTCCATTTTACCCCAGTCAGAACGCCTATCACCAATACAAATAACAAGGGCTAGCACAGTTGTGGAGAAAGGGGGGGGGTCCTTTTACAATGTTGGGGAGAGTGTAATCTGGTGCAGCAAATTTGGAAATCAACCTAGAGGTTCCTCAAAAGTTAGAGATAAAAACAGCCTAATGTGCTGAGCACGCTGGGGCCTGTGTTTAATCCCAGCACTAGGGAGGCAGAGGCTGTGGGTATCTGGGAGTTCCAGGCCACCCAGGAGCTACACAGAGAGATTCTGTTTCAAAAATAAATAAATAATGCTTTAAGACAGTCATAGCACTTTTGGGTGCTACAAGTAACAGATGAAAGCTTGGCCCTAAATAAGTCATTTGTACTACACCCTCTAAGATGTGGGAACATTGGGGAAGAACGGTTAGAAAAAAATGCAAGAGCCAGAAGATAGGGACGAACGGGAAAATGCTAGCCTCTAAGATAGGACACAGTCAATGTAACAGTGAGCTCTGAATTGCTAATTATTTCACTGGATGTGCACAACAAGGGCCCTCCCAACAGTCATGGATGGGGAGGAGCTCAAGGGACCCTAACCCATAATGACGAATTATCAGGCTGACTCTGGAAGAGGAGTAGCCATTGTCTTCAGTTGTGTACCCTAGAGAATCCATCGGGTTCCAACGGATAATTCACACAGACGGTCAAGCCCAGGAAGACTCAAACAAACAAACGATGTAAATGTGGAGGAAGCGATTTGTAGGGGAGGTAGCTTTAGATGGGGTAAGGAGCCGACAATGGGGTGGGAGCAACCATAACATACATGTATGAAATTGTTAAAAGAACAAAATTAAGGCTGGGCGGTGGTAGTGCACGCCTTTAATCCCAGCACTCGGGAGGTAGAGACAGGAGGATCTCTGTGAGTTTGAGGCCAGCGTGGTCTACAAGTGCTAGTTGCAAGGCAGATTGGGCTGTTACAGAGTAACCCTGTCTCAAAAAAAAAAAAAAACGAACAAAATTAATTAGAAAGATTGAATAAGGTGTGACTTTAGCCTTTCTCCAAGTAAGGGCGTGCCCACAGACAGGTGTGGTAAAATCTACTAACCCCAACAATTCACTTTTTAGTCCCAAGAAACAACAAAGTGCTCCATCAGAGTGCTTCAGTGGCCAAAAGATCCAAGTAAAGTCTATCAGATCTCGAACCCACCGCCCAGCCGCCTTTTCCCAGCCTCTTCGGCTGGACAGACACCAGACGGGACGCACGCCGATGACGTCATCGCACCCCAGGGCGTGGCCGCCGGACGCTACCATTGGCGAAGGTGGCCTCACCCTCCCAACCGCTGGTGCGGGCCCTGGCAGCCAACTCACCTTCCCGTTGGGGTGGAAAGGCAGGCCCGGGTCGTCTGTGGTGGGGAGAGGGCAAGCACGGCCCGTTTCCTCCGCAGCTCCAGCGGCGAGCCCCGCGGCGGAGGCGGCGGCCTCATAGTCCGGGAAGGGATTGGGGAACGCCCGCTCCTCCATCTCCGCCTCTCCGAGGTGCAACTTGAGTCTCTTTGACATGGTCTCGCCCATGTCCGCGCGCTTTCCCTGCTTAAGAGCTCAGGGCACGGCGCGCAGGCAGGGACAAACCTCCTGCAAGGCGTTTAGGCCGGGGCTGCTCGGCGAAGCCTCCCTGGCGGCGGCTGGCTTGCACATCTGGATGCGGGCAGCCGGCGCGAACCTCCAGCCTTCGCCCGTCACGCCCTCCCAGCAGCCGCTCGCAACCTGCCCGACCACCCCGCAGACCCGCAAAGTCTCCCAGTTACCGTCGTCTCTCCGGTGGCTATGTCCTTCCGAGAGGGTCTAGAGAAAAAGCGCTCGCCCGCGAAACTCCCGTTCCGGTAGGAAAAGCCTGTAAAGATGGATGGGTTCATTCAAAGTGTGAGCGGATCTCAGACCGGGGAAAAGCGCATCTTCAGACACTCCAGCAACCGGACTGCATTTTCACCAGCCCAGCCTTGCCGACCGTCCCTGTCCTCGGCTCCTTGTTTGTGGTGTGCCACTCACAGGAACAGCAGCTGCTTTGTTTGATTTTAAAAAATATCTCTTCTAAAGAAAGAATTCCAAAACGGCCTAAAGCAGTGAAAGGATAGTCTCCCGAGGGAGGGGGCATACAGTCCCTCCCATTCATCACCACCGGGAGGGGGGTTGCTTGGAGGAGGAGCCACAGGCCTTGGTTTTGTTTTGTTATGTTTTATTTTCATGCTCTTTGTTTTGAGTAAACGCACATCTTTGCTAACAAGGATTAATATGGAAGAATGCTTATTAATCATCTAAATATTTTATAGACCAGAGAATTCCATGGTCACGTAATTAACATAATTGACCTGCAGAATAACACGGATGTCAAAGAGTTCCCAAGCAAATAGATCTTCGCATTTCTATAATCACAATGTATAATGCAGAACCACAGCCTTTATTGGTTCTGTGTTTTTTGCAGTGTTTACCTAGAACCAAATCTGTGTAATGATTTCTCTTAAAAGGAAATATCTTATTTCAGTTTCTTTCATGTAATAAACGTTGGTACTTGGTGTCAAAATGTTTCTGCCCCCTGGCGAAATCATCATACACACACACACACACACACACACACACACACACACACACACACACGAATCATTGAGCATCCTAATCGTGTAATCCCCCGAGTCCAAGCTAGGTACATATTAATATAATGCCAAAGGTAACATGATGGAAAACTACGAAGAGCAAAGATTTCAGTCACTCACACCTTTGATCTCAGAATGGAGTAAAGTGGAGCGTTTAGATTTTCATGCCGTCCTTTGTCATATACGTAATCTTCCCCTCTCTTGTCGTGAAAGTTTAGATCAGAGTCGTAAGAGTTAGCCCCCGTACCCTGGCAGCCCTAACTAGCTAGGCTCTGTCACCAGCCTCAATATCCAATTAAGAAACAACAGTGAAAAGTGGGAAAGAGGGGCAAAGAGAACCAGTGACAAACTCAAACAGGCGCGTGCGCGCATGCGCGCGCACACCCACCCAGCTATTCAGATCCTGACCCAGGCTTAGGTTTAAGAGGTAGACTGGAAATTTGTATACCTCGGAAGGCAGCCCAGGTCTGGGTGTGGTCCGGCCCATCATAGTGTCTATTTCTCTGTCTTCAGAGGTGGTCTGGCAAGTCCTCGCAACTCTGGAATCACTGGGAGACAGTTCTCCCTGGCACCAGGTTTCGGCCTTCTATTATGTGACTCATGAGGGAAGTCCTCAAACTACATGCAGTTTATGCTGTTATTACATCTGGGATTTGTTTTCCAAATAATATTGAAGTAAAGCACGGGGTTGCTTCAATATTAAAAAGCCCCCATTAGCTTTTGTGGTTGCCCTTTAGATATAAATATCCCTAAGTGTCACTATTTTGTCTACCATTGTTTGGGTATCTGATGATCATGTCAAAGCCCAGAGCTTACAGGTGGTGACTGAGTTCTTTTTCCTCATTATTGTTTACTCCCAGTTTTCATGCTTTACTGTTAATTGTGTTTAATTTTTATCATTACTTATAACATGTATATAGAATATGATTAAAGAATCACAATTTGATTAATTTGGGAGAACAGGATTAAATGTGTCATTTTTAGACTCTCCCCGTGGGAGTCTTACAAATAGATAATTTGTCTTTCAACATGAAGGTAGCATATTCCCCCTTTCTCTCCTCCAGTCCGTCCCCTACAACTTTCCCTCCTTAATTCACGTGGGGTTTTGTTGTTGTTGTTTTATATTTTTCTTATTTATAACATAATTCTTATTGATTTCTTGGGAATTTCACATCATGCATCCCAGTCCCACTCACCTCCCTGTCCATTCATATCCTCCTTTCACCTCCAAAGCATGCCCCCAAAAGAAACCACACTCACAAAAAATCAATTCAAAACAAACAAATACCAAAACAACCTTACTTGTTCATCTTTCCAACACCTATTCATTCATCCTAGAGGCACTGGGAGCTGCAGTGTGTCACACGGTGCCCCCTTTTGTCCAATGAGTTCCACCCGCAAAGTTCTCATTGCAGAGATTCGCTGGTCTGGTTCAAGGCCTCTGGTACACCATCATCACCGGACCCTCACCAAAATCCTCTCAGGTATCCTGCTGTTGCCCCTGTCTAGCCTAGCTCACCCCACTCAAAGACTAGAAGCATAAAGATAAGTCATTGTTTTGTGTTTCAGAACACCAAAGCCTTGCAGGACATACCATTTCCCCGAAGGAATATAATTGTCTATTCTGATGAGGTGATGCAATAATCTTGAGCTAAGCTCGTGGGTGTGGAGATGGCAGCAGGTGAAGTGATAGGTGAAGAAGGGAAGAAACGACTTGCCAGGCAAAGGCAGCTTGTGAACAGAAGCGGTTTGTGGGCTGTGGGCCTGGAGTTCAGCCCGTGGGTGTGGAAATAGCCACATGATAGGGACTATAGGAAAGAGAAGTGACTCACGATCCAAGAGGGCTCACAGGCCTGGGGGCTGGAGCTAGGTTTGTAAGTAAGCTATTGGCTGTGAGCTGGGATAGGAAAGTATGGGGAAAGGAGGAGGTAACTTATCCAGCAATGGTGGCTTGTGGACAAAGAGTTTTCCTTCTGTAATTCTATTATTCACACATTCCATCACTCTGCTAGGACAGGATATTACCGTACTCTTTTGTCTTATAAGGAAAGAGTTCTAAAATTAGTAGGCATAATAAAATCATGTATTCTGTATCAACACCAAAGGATAAAAATACATATGCTTTGACCCACAATACCCCCTCAAATAAATATCAAGCAGTCTAGAGGATGCATAGGAAGAAGGGAGGTCATACCCTCAACTCAAATTGTTAATTAAGACAACCAATATTATCTTTTGATGGATGCAGAGCTATAAATAACATCTAAACAACTCCTTGTCCAAATAAATGATTAAAAGATCAAGAAGAGATCACAAGAAAAGGGAAAGTGGTCCACATAGCAGTCCAAAGCTAAAATGGCTAACCCATACAGTTTATTTAGAAAATGGTTTTCAACTTTTGGGAGATTTAAAATATTCCTGTTATGTTTTTGATTCTGGAAGGATACTTGATTTTACCTTACACTGTTTCCTTAGACACAGGTTTCTCTCCAGCCTTATAGAGGTCGTGGGGGGGGGGGGTGGATGGTCACCTATTATGATGCTATTAAAATTCAAACTAAAATGATGTTATTGATACTAAGATTAAGCATCAATAGAGGGGGAATGTGGTAGGGGGAACAGAGGGTGTTTGAGGACTAAGTGGAAAGAAACAGGAAACAGCCTGTAAGCTGGTCAGTGTCCATGCTCAGGTTGGTCAGTTTCCCTAAGTGGACTGGTCACATCGCTCCTGCGGTTCTCTTCCTTTCCCCCGTCACTCTAGCCAAGGACTGTAAAACATTCAGTCAGAATGTATGCAGCCATCTACAGAAGACAGAGAAGCAAAAATGTGTGAAAACCTCATGTCTGTAATTCTCCCAGCTCTGGCATTTGGATAATAATCTGCTAGAAGTCTGACATCATAAACTGCTTTCTGGTAAGAGAAGTCTTGGGGTCCCCATATATTTTTGGCTAGAAGCCTGCAGCAGAGATGCCTGTATTAGATTTAGAATTTTCGTGGAATATTTATGGGGTTCGTAAGGATTGTTGACGACATCTGTTTCCTTCCAGATAGCCGTATGAGTGTATAGTACCAGATAAGCATAAATATCAGTTTGCTTCCCATTTCTGTGGTAAACACCATGGCCAAAACCAACCGAAGAGGAAATGGTTCATTTGGCTACACATCCTGATCACAGTCCACCATAAAGGGAGATCAGGGCGTAGAAACAGAAACCACAGAGGAAAGCTGCTTATTAGCTTGCTGCCCTGCCATAAGGAACCTTATCCCCCTGGAACTGTAAGCCCCCACAAAATTCCCCTCCCATAAATTATGGTGATTTATCACAGCAATATAAAAGTAACCACTGTAGAAGCTGGTGTTACCATTGCTGTGAGGAACAAGACCATGGTTTTTTGTTTGTTTGTTTGTTTTGAGGAATATGGGCTTTTGAACTCTGAACAGCAAAAGCAGTATTGATATGGAGAGTTTTGGATTCAAGAGTCTAGTATTCTATTCCAACGGTCACTTCCTGCCTTATTAATTCTCTTCTGAATGGATGAACTCCCATCAGCAAACAGTGGGAGGATGGAGTTTTCTATAGATTCGTCTTTAAGGTCATGGTTTATAGCAAGACCTCCTGGCTTACACGCTCAAGATTCTCCCCATCAGGAAGGTAAGTAGCAGGACTGAGGGAGGGACAGACCTTAAACAGCACCTCTGGTCCTTCCGGTAGACAAACTTGATATTTCACAATTCTGCTGTCCTTTTGAGTTAAGTATGTCCCAGTGTTGGGGAGGGTATATGCAATGAGTTGACTTCCCAGGGTTAATTTATGTGCTCCAGGGGCCAGGAACACTGTAACTTTGATTTCCCTTAGGCATTCTGGCTATCCCTTAGCCGCTAGTTCAAGTTCTTGCTAAGGTATCTCACTGCTTGTGGCGTGGGTCCTATCAGCTAGATCAGAATTCTCAGGGAAGTTCCTTTCTCTTGGTGATGTAGAGGGAATATCAGAGCTGAGTGGGCAACACCAGAGCAGGGCTTGGTAAGTACATTCTTGTGTTGTTTAAGCTCTGCTAATAAAAGGCACTGTTACCATAGGAGGGTGTGAATTTTCTCATCAACTCCTTCAAAGAAATCATTCCAGGGGCCTCTGGAAGTGAGGTTTGGGATCTTTGGGTTGAACTCTTCCAGGACCTTCAGTGTATGGTGGATAGGGCTCCAGGAGAGGCAGGGTAGGTCAGATGGTAATACATGGCTTTTGTAGGAGCCAGGGTGCGATGACTCAGGTGGCAGAGATATATGGGTATGTATGTGATCGCCTTATTTCAGGTAGAGAAGTAGAAACATAGACCATCAAAATAGTGGAATCTAGCTGATAATTGTGACCCACTTTTGGGTAGTCTTGAAGAGAAGAGAAAAGTTGAACAAAGGGGACCTGGGCCTATTTTCTTTCTCTTTTGCATTATTGATCCATTTGAAGGATAGTATTATAACTGAGGGTGCATTGAGGTGGCCATTTTATTTATTTATTTATTTATTTATT